ACACGACAGGCAAAACTGCTTACGCCGAGTACGACATGTTTGCAGTTACGAGCGAGAGGACTAAGTACAAATTGACTCTTGGATCATACTCAGGTAAACGTAAATTTCTATGTCTTTCTATGTTTACATTTTTTCCAGTTTTACTGTCAATGTACTGTTGATGTAAACTCGAAGATATTTTAGTTTCAGTCAAAATAACGGTAGTCAATTTGAATAATTACTTAATTTGTAAACATACTGTAAGTTGAATACGAGAAAATTTGAATTTGTGCAATGCAAAGGACAAAGGCCTATTGTCTGGTACACAACGAGTGAGATTCCGGTAGTTTTTATTCAGAATGTTCTGTCATCTCTATTTGAAAACACTGAATACTCAAGTTTCATGATGTTAGTGAAATGATGTGAAATTCTCACTTTTTGTTTTCAGGAACTGCTGGTGATTCTCTTTCTATTCATCGTGGTTCCCCCTTTACCACCAAAGATCAGGATAATGACATCAAGATCAGTAATTGTGCTGTGGAGTTTAAAGGAGCCTGGTGGTACAAGCACTGTCATCAGTCCAACCTGAACGGTCTGTATCATCACGGAAAACACTCATCATACGCTGATGGTGTCAACTGGTATCACTGGAAAGGACATCACTACTCCGCCAAGAGAGCTGAGATGAAAACCAGACCAGTAAAGTTTTAAGAACTCTTCGCCTTTTTTCTCCTTTGTCTACAAATAAAAGTTTGTAAATATGCTCAAATTACACTGAGATTAAATGACAGAGAAATAAGGTTGTTTGGTCAGTATTTTTGTACAGCCGGGAATTTTTCTGACAAACAAGTGGGAAAACTGGAAAATAAAAACCCTTTGACTCTTCGGATGTTTCCCTCTCAAACGTAAAAATTGCCAAACGCAAATAAATTGGAAAAAAAAAACCGTGCGGTAATTACAGGCGATTTGTCAGTATTGAGTTCAAAATCCGTTGTTCTTGTGGTAAATTAATATTTCTCTTTTTTCCGGGGCTAAGTTTCCCTCTTTCCATCCGTTTACTATTCTCTTTTATTTTCCCTCTTTATTCGTTTCTGAGAGTTAGCAAAAAAACTAAAACGTTTGTAAGTTAAGGCCTGTCACTTTCAGTTGGAGCAAATAAAAGTTCAACAAAAATCTGCTAGTGCGAGTCGTTGTAAGGTGATTGTCGAAATCTAAGGAGGCTAAATTCAAGTACTATCGAGTTGTGGCACTAACACAAATGTTCTTTACCAATCATTAAAAGGTTCAAAAAGGTTGAAAGCTACAGCACATATGCACTGTATAACAATAGAGATGGGGCATTGAGGGTTAAATAGAGATGTCAACTACACACCCANGGTCACTGAGGTTTTTGCGTTCGCCAGCGAACGCAGAAATGTGCAAAAGGGGGGGGGGGTCTTTTTGCAGGCGTTCTCCCTTTGTCCAAGTCCACCTCCCTCCATCCGCGCTTTACCTCCCCCTCCCCCATTTAACGCTTCTAAAGTCTGCGCAGGCTTAAGTCTGCACAGACAAAGTGGCTAATACCATCCTTGTTCATCCCAATTTCCGTAGCATGAAGGAGTGTAAAATGCTTCTCTCCCTATATAATATGAGATGCTAGCCCATCATGCGTTAGACCCAGACTCCTTTCCCCGATCTCCCGATGCACTTTGTCAGGTCGCCATAACAATTCGCTGGCAAGGGAGGGGGGCAGGGGGTGAAAGCAAAGTTGTGGAATGAGCAACCTAATGAAATTAAGAACTCTCTCTCTCATCCTTAAAGACTGTCTTAAGCAGCTTCTGTTTTCTTTACTGATTTTGTTTCTTTTCAGTTATTTTTAATATTGATGATGTATATTACGTACATTAT